TGAAAAGACATAAAAACCACATGAAAAAGACATGCAAACGACATGAAAGTAACATGAAAATAACATCAAAGAAATGAAAAGACATGAAAACGACATGAAAGTAACATGAAAATAACATCAAAGAAAAAAACGACAAGAAAACGACATGAACACGACATGCAAACGACATGAAGGTAACATGAAAATAACATCAAAGAAATGAAAACGACATGAAAACGACATGAACACGACATGCAAACGACATGAAAGTAACATGGAAATAACATCAAGGAAATTAAAAACATGAACACGACATGAACACGACATGCAAACGACATGAAAGAAACATGAAAATAACAAAGAAATGAAAAGACATGATAAAACGACATGCAAACGACATGAAAGTAACATGAAAATAACATCAAAGAAATGAAAAACATGAAATCGACATGAACACGAAATGCAAACAACATGAGAGTAACATGAAAATAACAAAGAAATGAAAAGACAAGAAAACGACATGAAAACGACATGCAAACGACATGAAAGCAACATGAAAAAACATTAAAGAAATGAAAAGACATGAACGCGACATGCAAACGACATGAAAGTAACATGAACATATTTAAAAATAACATCAAAAAGACATGAAAACGACATGAACACGACATGCAAACGACATGAAAGTAACATTGAAATAACATCAAAGAAATGAAAAGACATGAAAACGACATGAACACGACATGCAAACGACATGAAAGTAACATGAAAATAACATCAAATTCAAAGAAATGAAAAGACATGAAAACGACATGAAAACGACATGCAAACGACATGAGAGTAACATGAAAATAGCAAAGAAATGAAAAGACATGAAAACGACATGCAAACGACATGAAAGTAACATGAAAAAAACATCAAAGAAATGAAAAAGACAAGAAAACGACATGAACACGACATGCAAACGACATGAGAGTAACATGAAAATAACATCAAAGAAATGAAAAAGACAAGAAAACGACATGAACACGACATGCAAACAACATGAAAGTAACATGAAAATAACATCAAAGAAATGAAAAAGACAAGAAAACGACATGAACACGACATGCAAACGACATGAAAGTAACATGAACATAACATCAAAGAAATGAAAAAGACAAGAAAACGACATGAACACGACATGCAAACGACATGAAAGTAACATGAAAACAACATCAAAGAAATGAAAAAGACAAGAAAACGACATGAACACGACATGCAAACGACATGAAAGTAACATGAACATAACATCAAAGAAATGAAAAAGACAAGAAAACGACATGAACACGACATGCAAACGACATGAAAGTAACATGAAAATAACATCAAAGAAATGAATAAGACAAGAAAACGACATGAACACGACATGCAAACGACATGAAAGTAACATGAAAATAACATCAAAGAAATGAAAAAGACAAGAAAACGACATGAACACGACATGCAAACGACATGAAAGTAACATGAACATAACATCAAAGAAAAAAACGACAAGAAAACGACATGAACACGACATGCAAACGACATGAAGGTAACATGAAAATAATTGAAAATAACATCAAAAGAAATGAAAAGACATGAAAACGACATGAACACGACATGCAAACGACATGAAAGTAACATGAACATAACATCAAAGAAATGAAAAAGACAAGAAAACGACATGAACACGACATGCAAACGACATGAAAGTAACATGAAAATAACATCAAAGAAATGAAAAAAAGACAAGAAAACGACATGAACACGACATGCAAACGACATGAAAGTAACATGAACATAACATCAAAGAAATGAAAAAGACATGAAAAGGACATGAACACGACATGCAAACGACATGAAAGTAACATGAACATAACATCAAAGAAATGAAAAAGACAAGAAAACGACATGAACACGACATGCAAACGACATGAAAGTAACATGAAAATAACATCAAAGAAATGAAAAAGACAAGAAAACGACATGAACACGACATGCAAACGACATGAAAGTAACATGAACATAACATCAAAGAAATGAAAAAGACAAGAAAACGACATGAACACGACATGCAAACGACATGAACGTAACATGAAAATAACATCACAGAAATGAAAAAAAAGACAAGAAAACGACATGAACACGACGTGCAAACGACATGAAAGTAACATGAACATAACATCAAAGAAATGAAAAGACAAGAAAACGACATTAACACGACATGCAAACGACATGAAAGTAACTAACATCAAAGAAATGAAAAAGACAAGAAAACGACATGAACACGACGTGCAAACGACATGAAAGTAACATGAACATAACATCAAAGAAATGAAAAAGACATGAAAAGGACATGAACACGACATGCAAACGACATGAAAGTAACATGAAAATAACATCAAAGAAATGAAAAAGACAAGAAAACGACATGAACACGACATGCAAAC